CTTAGTATCTTAATATTAATTATGTAACATCGCAATTACTCTATTAATAAAGATCACGAGAAATGCCTCGCTTAACAAATAAAAAAAATAAAATATGAAGACAAATTATATAGTAATTTTGAAAATGGAACCAAAGAATTTTATAAATTTAGAGATATTATTAATTTATAGAGTATTAATTTATGGAGGTTCTACTATATTGGGTAACCTTAATTGCAAGGATAGTATTTTCAAAAACATCAGTTTCCACTTTAAGCAATAAATATTGTACATTTACTTTTGCTGTATGTAATATTTTTTTGAATCCTTGATTCAAGAGTATCATTTGTTTTAAAAAGTGGATGAAATGTTGTATAGAAAATTTTTTTATAAGTAATTGATTAAAATATGATAATTTTTTTTAATATAATCCAATATATTTATTTAATAGAGAGATTTGAATGATAGTGGTTCCTCCCTAAATTCTGCCAAAGAAATTTTAAATAATGAATTAGAAAGTGGATTAAATTGAAAGCAATCACAAGAAACTTTAGAACAAGAACAAGAAGAAACTGAATTAAATAGAATGCAACAAGACAATTTAATGATACTTTCACAAAAAAAACAAGATGTGTTATTTGATATTGATGAAGATAATAGAGACTAAATTAGAATTAAATATAATAATTTGCAAAAATACGAATCAAATTAATTTGCTTTAATAAAAACAAATTGTTTAATTTTAATTATTATACATAATACAAGAATTATAATATGTATTAAAACTATAAATAATTTATTATTAATTGAAATGTTAATTTTAAAACAAATCAATAAACATCAATATAAATTAATTTTTAAATTATAAATCAAATTCAATAAACTTCAACACATATCAATTTTTATCTTAATCAATAAAATTTGGCAGGAGAGATTGATTAACATTGATATGTATTCTGAGTATTATTAATTAATACATATCATCCTATTTATTTTGCTGATGTTGATTAGACTTTGGTTGCTTTTTTTCTTTAATAATAGTATTGTTACTTATGGATTGCAATTTCATTGTTAATAATAATTGTGAAAAGTTAAGTAGTTTGTAGGTTAATAATATAGTTAAGATATTAATGGTCAGATATGAAGCCTGCTTCAATCTTGTTATATTGTTTTGGTGTTTGTTGATTGAAGATTACTAAAACTCATGCAGGACATAGTCATGTAGTTTTTCAATCCAGTATATTGTCAATTGATTATAATTTTTATTATTGTTATTATTGTAGTTGTTATTGTTAGTATATAGATATTTTGTTAGAAAAACTGATTAAAAACAAGTTTAAATAGGGTTGGTTTTGTTACTAAGAGGTAAAGAAATTTGATTGGTTGTTCATTAGGAAATTTTTTAAGCGAAGAAACTCTACATATCTACGCCATCGTTAGAGATCTCTGGAGAATCAAAAATATATATATAAATTTTAAAAATCTTTGAAAAATTATTTCCTCCAGAGATTATCGAAGGTTTTTGAAAGTTATTAAAATATTTCAAACATTTGCGAAAACCTTCGATAATCTCTGGAGAAAATAATTTTCAAAGATTTTTGAAATATATATATATATACTGTATTTTGTTTCTCTGGAGATCTCTAACGACAGCAGAGATATGTGAAGATATATAGAGTTCCTCTGCTCAAAAATTTTCTGATGTTAATTGTATATTGATTTTTTAATAAAGTAAAACCAAGTATAGTTTTTGAATTGAGAAAAAAAAATTGAAATAGTAATAAATAAAAAAATAAGATGTAATATTGTTTTTGATAGGAAAAGAAAAATAAAAAATAAAAATTTTATAAAGATTGTGTTAAAACAAACATTAAATTCAATAATTTTATTTGAATGTATAGTTAAAGATATATTTGTAATATAGAAAAAGAAAGAAATAAGAAAAGAATAAATATAATAGTCATATAAAAAAGAAGATTTTTAAAGACAAAAATTATAAAGAAAAAATGTTACAGGTCTTTTTTCATGCAATCAAAAGCTAAAAAAGATTTTCAACTTGTTTAGGTTTTAATTAAAGGTTCCATTCCATTGCAATAATGTTTCTTAAATCTTTATATTCTTTTGTTTAAGCTTATTTGCCTTAGAAAAATAAAAAAAGAAAAGTGCTTTTTGAAAGAAGATTTTTTAAAAAAATAATTTTCAAAAAATTAGCAATGAATAAGTCAGAGTTTTTTTTTTTATTATATATTAATTCATTTTTATATAACTAAATACTATTTAAGATTATATTATTTTAATATATTTTTGAGTAATTATTAAAAACTTAAACAAAAAATTGTTTTTTAAATCTTGTATTTAACTTTTTTTAAAAAAAGAAATATGTATTAACCTAGTTATTATATTTAACTTATATTAAATATTTTTATATAACAAATCACTTATAAAAAAATTTTTTTATTTACTATTAAAACTTGCTTTTTGTAACATGATATTCAATTATATATTTTTAGATTTTGTATAATAATTAACTAAGATAAAAGTAAATATTATAGAGTTACATAATGTAAGTAATTGTTTCTTTTACAAAAACTTATCAAAATTTATATATTATTTTATAAGTTGATATTTTTTTAATAGAGTAAAAAAATTTTTTTTCAGATGTACAGTATATACAGTATATTGCACAATTATTTATATAATTGTTAATTGCATCACAAGAAATTAGAAAAATTACTAAATAAATAAATAAAATAATTATTACTGTAATAATAAAAATCAGTCGAATATTAAAAATAATACAATTTCAAATGAATTGGGGAAAAGAATGGATTTGAGGTCGTCAGTTATATAATTTTTACCAAGACTAAGAAAAATTATTTTCAAGAAGAAAATTAATCGACAATTATTAAACTAAGGTAATGGCTATGTTATATTATATAAAAAGAATTATGATATCTATTGTATCAAAAACGTAAATTACAAAGAGTATTGTTACAGGGAAATAAGGGGTGATTTGTCACGCGATCCTGTACGAGGTATCGTGATGAGGATGATTGGGATAAAGAGGATAATTGAGATAAAAATGATAAAGAGGATAATTGGGATAATTGAGATAACGAAGAACAAGTATAAATATACCTAGCTTTCATTTAATAAAGGCAGCAAGTGTGCTCATTTAACGATTGAAACCTTTATCTGTGTGATAAAACCCTGTGTGTTCCATTTTCAGTGTTAAGTTTCTCATCGTCCGTGATCACGTGATCACGGACAAAAAATCCAATCACCTCTTTCACCTACAAGACAAGAAGAAAGAAGTGTTAGTGACGACACGAACGACATAGCTAAATAGTGCAAGTTTGTGGGCCTACTCAGCTGCTGTGTGATGTGCCACGACCAGACCTGTGTGCAAGCGACTGACTCGCCGATTCTTGCCGTTACAGTATTAAAAATAATAATAACCTAGATCTGAATGTAATTGCGATGATGCTTTGCTTTACCCGTTATGAACTTTTGAAAGTGATTAGAAAGATTAAATATGGAAGAGCAAAAAAGATTTATTAATTGTTATAACACGAATGGTTTATTTATAATATAATGACATACATATATAACTCGTATAGTAATAATATTCTGACCCAATTCAAAAATCCTAAAAGCCCTTGTAATATATCTATAAATATTCTTAAGTAATATTTTCTTCTACTTTCAAGTATAAATAATGTTAAACTCGCAATAACACAAAATGGAAGTTTTGTTCTCTCTGTCAGGTTTAATCATATTTATATTATACTTTGACTACCAAACGAAAGTATTTTCCTGTCTGATCACCCTCTCAAACTATTTGATTGCTCCTCAAGTTTTAATATTTCTTCTTGCATATTTAAAAGAGTTTGTAATTCCTCTTGGGTAAACTTTGATTGTAAAAGTGTCTGGCAAGTGACTAGCTGTCCTTGCAGTTGTCCTTTTGCGAAATCGTCGCCATTTCTGTTGTTCTGTTCGATAATTTGTTTTCGAGTTTGTAAGAAAAGTTCTAATATTGGTTTCAAATTATCAGCTGCTTTATTTTTGCTAGTTAGGGTCAACTGATCAAATCGGTCCTTTTGCTGTCGAAAATAAGGTGCAAAATCCTTTAACTTAAGTCTCTTAATTTCTTCTTTTAAACTGACGTAGTTAAGTTCACTATCAGGAAATACTACTTTATTTAATTCTTCAAACTGGTAAAGAGTAGGTTTTTTCTTTGCTTCCGTTTGTAAGTCCTTTATTTGTTGATTTTTTTCGGCGAGATCTTGTTTCAGCTTTTTTACTTCCGTTTCCAATTGTTCCAATTTTCGATCTTCGACTAGGTAGTAAGGTATTTGGCATTGGTTTTTTAACTTTTCCTTTTTACAGACCCCATTTTCAACGTAAGATACTAATACTCGATTAAGTTGCCTTTCTTTGACGATAATCTTACAATAATAGTTGAAATTACTGTTAATATCCAACTTCCAGAAATTTTCATTTTCGCTAATATCGATGCTATTCAGATTACTGTAGATTACTTGATTCTGAATTGTGATTGCCATGAGATTTGGAAATTGTGCAAAGCTTAGATCACCATTCATATTCGAATTGTCATAAACTACAAGTCCCACGCCCGAAAAAGAAGGAGGTAAATTGTGTCTAGCGAAGGATATATACTTTGCATTTGTTTTTTGGACAATTGGTAAACCATTTAATGTTTCTTGATTCATGGTTACTACGGATTTTAATCGTATGCGCTGAACTGATTGATTTATGAAGTATATATACTGTAAATTTTCAAAAAAGTTGAATGAAGTTAGGAATGCTTTTATTATTGGGACAGAAAATAAAAACAACGAATATTTAGACAGTCGGCATTATCTTTAGATCGCTATTTTAAAAGGGTGATTCTGTTTCGCCAAAAATTGTGAATGCATATAAAACCATAAATTTTGGGCGTAACCTCTTCCTTTCAAAGAAAAATCTGCTATATAAGTACGTTGTTTCATGAATACAATTATTAGGAGCAATTTCGATGATGTACGACCTATAGGGTAACAATCAAACGTACACACGTGCAAACAAATTTTATTCGTTTTTATAACGCACGATAAGATCGTGGGGATAGAGTAAGTGAAGCAACTAGATCGAGTCGTCTAGAAATGTGAATCAGTCCAAGCTTCGGTACAAAACAGATGACGTACATCAACTTAGTGTGCATTTTATACTTTATTGATATGCAATTAAGAAAATCATGTATGAAGGTCACTTATGTACAAAAAGACAAGCATTGACAAGAACGATAATTAGAATGATCCCTTATAAATAACACATAAATTATAGTTAAAACAATAATTTAGTTTCAATCCAAGTCTTTTCCCTCTTTTTTGCCTTATCTTATCAGTGCATCATACAAGGGCTGCTCCAAGGACTAACCAGAAATGTAAACAATTAATATAGTATAAGGACAAACATTTTTTTAACGTTTTAAGTCCGATTTAATTGCTTTTTAGGCATCGCTAAAGAATTATGAAAATGATTTTGTGGCAGAGAAATCTGCATGTTTTTAACGGTTCAAACCATATGTTATAACAAGAGTAAAAATAATATGGCCGCAATGAGTTCCCGATCCCACAGCACCATCATGAGATCTTTTAATAATAGCTTCACCATGAGATTCTATCAACTTTAGCTTTAATTAGTTTTTTATTAGTTATCATTATGTAATTGATATAGAAAATATATAGGTAAAGAAAGAAAGAACAAATTAATAAACACAGTTTTTTGGGGGGCCAATATCAAACTCCCTTCACCATTATTAAAATACTATTATTACTGTATGTATTGATTTTTACTTGAATCTTAGATACTCTTAGTAAGGATTCCAATGGTATTATTTTGGTACTGGATTTACTGAATTTAATAGAATGGGTTATAATCAATATATTAAATTTATTATAAGGTGATACCTTTTGGTACTATTTAATATTGGTTCAAAACCAAACTCTTAGTAATAGACTTTTCAATCATAATTACTAAATAAGAATTATATGGATTGTAATATATTTTATTGTAAAAAAAACATAAAAAATTCCTTTTAAAAATAACAAAAGTTAATTTGACATTACTAATTTGTATATAAAATGTACTATATTATTTAATTGGTATTTTTTTTCTAAATAGAATTTCAGATCTTATTTTTGGATATATAAAATTATATATACTACAGTATTATTTATATAATTTTGATAAACCAACATGATTATTACATACTATATATTTTTATTTTTAAACAATATTGTCAAACACAAAATAATTATAATAAAAATAATAATAATAGTTCTTGCCAATATGCAACAAATAGAAAAGCATAACTCAAATATATTTTATACTTTTTTTTGCATATATGTTTCTATTATTTCATGTTTCTTAAATTATTGTAATAACAAAATTAATACTTATTAAATTAAATTAAGTATATATATCAATATTTTAATAAAACATTTTTATTAATATTTAATATTTAATTAAATTTGTTTAATAATTTCATATTATTAATTTTTTAAAAGACAATTTTAAGTAATTATTTCATTATATTTAAAATATATAAAAAATTATTAATTATTGCAAATTTTTTTATTCATATTGACTAATAATATAAATATAATATTCAAAAATTTAATAAATAATTAAAAATAATTAAAGATATATTGTATTTAACATTGTAAATAAATCAATATTATTATAGATATATAATATAATAATATATAAAATACAATTGATTTAATTTAATATTTAAGAAATAAATATAATAAAAAAAATTTTTATATAATTAAAACAATTAACAAAATAAGTAAAATTTAAGTTAAAAATTTATAAACTATATATATATATATATTATTTAAATAAAATTGTAGTTATTTAAAAACTTATTAAATTAAGATCTATCTTCTAAAATATATTATATAAAAAAAAATAATACTACTACCTGACTTAACTATTTATAAATAAATATTAATTACTTATAAACTATTAATAGTTTGTTACTAAAAACTCTTTCTGCTGATCCTTTTGCCAATCCAAAAAACAGACGTTCTCAAAAGATTTTTTGTCTTTATAATAATAAAGTCTATATACTTTTCTTAAAAACAATATTGGTTTTAATCAGCCAAGCGAACAGAAGCTATCACTTGTTTTATTTTTCTTTTTCAAAATACTTTTCTTGTTTATTTTTGTAACCAAATACAAGAAACCTATCTAAAAGGTCTATGGCAAGAACACCTTTGTATGAAGAAAACTGACAAGAAAAAAATACTCTCCAAAGACTCCCAAAAGATTTAAAAATCTAGAAAAACAAGAATAAAGAAGTCTCCAGTCTTTCAATCATCCCTTTGGCTTCCATCAGGAAATTTTTTTGGTAGAGATCTCCAGAGATCTTCACTTAAAAAAAAATTTCGAAAATTTCTGGAGAAATCTTGAAAAATCTTCAAAGGTTTTTAAGAATTT